GGTGGGAAGGGCTGCATGCCTGCCTGGCCGGCTGCTCTCATCTCCTCTGCCACCTCTGGTCACCTGGGCATGCGCGCTTCCCGCCCCCAGGGCTTGCTTGCTCTCGCCTCTGCACACCCCCAGCTGCACAAGTTTGTGTTTTAAAATGTGTTCATTATGAAGACCTTTTTCTTTTCTGCCATAAAATGGAAACAAATGTCTGCATTGTGTTTTGGCACTAAAACAGCTTGCTATGTTTTAAAATTTTTTGTCTCCAATGTTACACTGGCTTGTACGTAAGTATAAATGGGTTTCAGCTGTGGCCTGCCTAACTCCCCTCCTCTTGAGAACCATGGCCTATGGTATGAGGCAGCTGGTGAGCAACGGCAGGCAATGGAAGCAGAGGAAACCCAGACCCACAAGACCACTCACTGGACATTATAGACATGTATTTATTTCCCGTTTTCCCATTCACAAAACTTTATTTCAGTATCTTTATTTCAGAAGCACAATTTTGTTTCTCTATGTTCTATTTTTGGGAGTTAGGACGAAGAGGGCCCGGGTCATCTGGGCTCGTGCTGCTCTGCTCCCTGGGTCTTGATCTTCCCCCTTTTTGGCTTTCACTCCTGTCTACCTGCAAGTGCTCTTACAGAATCACATCGATGCTAGAACGTCACCACCTTGCTTTCAGGCTTTCCCCATAGGGACTTGGGGCCAGGAGCCAATGAGGTGGCTGGCTGTGTGGGCAGCCTTGGCTGCCCTCTGAAAACGCTTGCTGTCAGGCAGCACTGACAGGTGCACTACACCTGGGCATCTGCAGCTCTGCTGAGGACGCCTGACCCAGGGGAGGCAGCAAGGTGTCATGCAAACTGAGCCAATCTAGGTGACCCTGACCGACTAGGGCTCCTTCAGAGTTAAAGTGTATCTGGGAGACACGTTAACACCCTCCCCCCACCCTCCCCTGAAAATCAAACACTGATGATAGAGATTTTGTATTGATCACAAGACACTAGCAGACACACACACACACACAAACACACACACACACACACTGCACTTTCAGCAGGACAAGTCACTACTGCAGGGTGCCATGCAGGTGGGTAGTTTAGTGAATGTACTCATTAGTTAATAGCTCAAAGGGTTAGGTGTTTATATACAGAAGAAAGGAACCACCTAGAACGGCCACCTCTCGGCAACACTCCGCTCTTGATATGCCAAGACTGCAGCCTTGCTATTAACAAGGTGACAAAGATGCGAATACATTCAGCAAGCTCCACAGGACCCGTGCTGCTTGGTCGGGACCTTTGCAAAGGCGCCCTGCAGTGGCAGATGGAATGGGCAAGAACTTGGTGGGAAACGTGTCACACCACCCCATTCCCCACGAAAAACACCACTTTGGGCAGAATGACGAGAGGCATTCTTCCCATGGGGGTGGTGGAGAAGGGGTGCCAGGGTGAGTCAGTGGAAGTCACCCATGTGAGGGAACCAAGGGCACGGTGGGCAGAGGAGGAAAATGGGGGGTGCTCCTCCGTTCTGGTAACTTCTTTGCTTCTTATCCTCTGCCCCAACTCCGAAGGAACTTTCCTCACAAGCACCCTGGCTGGGCCAGGACTCCCCCACCAGATCCCCTACACTTCCTAAGGCAGTCAGTGTGCAGCGAAGGCGGAGGGGTGTAGGCAGCCAGCTGGAAGGGGGTAGGCCCAGCGGAGGATGGGGCTCAACAAAGCCAACGACACATCACACACAGAACACAAAGGGAGATCTGGCAATTTTCTGGGGTCATTGCCAAACCTCCACCTCACCTTGACAGTTGACCTCACAGATTGTAAATCTTAGCAGAGCTCAGCGGCAGCACTTAGGGCTAGATCTTCTTTTGAAGATATAATATTCTATCTAGCTATGTGACTCTATAGAGATATGTACAACTGGCCTCTCTCCTTCCTGTACATTGCAGCCAGACCCATCGTAAAGCCCTCTTGTTGGTCCCTACTGCCCCGATCTCCAGGTATGACCTCATCGCAAGGCAGCTGCTCACTCCGCAGTTCTGGGGGGCCCATCGTATATGTTCTGGACTCCCAGTGTGGGCATGAAGCCCCTCTAGGAGACAGATTTATAGAAACCAACCAATATCGGGGCCCCCAGAAGGCAGCAGTATGTGGGTCACTGCTTCCCTCCCAACCTGTCTCTCTCTGAGAGGTATCCTGAGAGAAAGGGGTGATCATTGACATTCCAGTGGTGACTTTGTTTTGCGGTGTCTTACAAGATGTGTGTGTGTACATGTGAGTGCGCATGAGTGTACATGTGTCCGTGTGTGAGACTGTGTAGGTGTGTGTGTTGAAGAGGAGGCAGCAATTTGCTCTTCACTCCCCTCCGTGCTCGGCCTTCTCACTCTGACCACCTCTTCGGCTGGGACTCCAGACCCAAGGCTGAGTGTGGGGCCTGCTGCGGGGGTGCAGCAGCCAACAGCTACCCCAAGACAGGCTACTGAGGCGCCCCCCCGCGGCTCTCTGCTCCAGCCGCTAGACCCTCTCGTGACATCATCCACCTGCCTGCGGTAGCCCAGCTCCCACAGGTGTTAGGCCTACAAGGCACTGAGATCAAACGATGAGCTGTACAGTATATACAAGCCCTCTGCGCTCTCCGGCCCTGCTGCCCTCAGGACAGCTTCTGGTCTTCCTGTCTCCCTCCCAGGACTAAGCCCACCGCTCTGCACGCCCGCCTGGCCCACGAGGGAAACACTTCCTGCTGCTTCCGAGAACTTTATGTGTCCTCAGGGTCCCTCAGACCACCCCGTGCCACCTCCCTCTGCAAAC